ATATTTAATAAATTATGCATTTATTTATGTAGTTGCAAGTCTATGTAATATTTTTATCACTCTGACGCCCCCTTCCAACCCAACCCGCTTTTTGTAAGAGTTCTTTTTAGAAATGTTCATGTTGGTAACACAACAGACACTGTACAATCACTAGTGCAGGCAGAGGTATGAACGGAACGCAAAAGTTTAACAATTAATACTCTTTTGTGCTTTTTGAGATTTGCATGATAGCCAACACATTATAATAAAGATATTCATAACGTGTCGATTTTACTGACTGTTCTTCTATACATTCAACTGAAATGGATGGAAGTGTGAAAATTTCCTTATAAAATGTGTTGCAACAAATGTAACGATAAAGGAATAAAAATGATGGTAGAATTGTATTATTTTTGGGGGCAAACAATCAATTATAAAGCCATTAAGTATCAATTTGGGGTGGTTTGCAGAGTGGCTTTTGATTTTAGGCCAATTAGGAGTAATAAACTTTGTAATGTAGATATAAAGAGAACCATATATAAAATAAAGTTCAAAATACAAAGCAATATGTTTATCTGTTGTTCGAGTCATTTAAAACCAATTAGAGATAATAATAAAAGTGATAGTACACATAAACAGTTTCATAAGCTGTTTGCAAGTTGAAACATGTAAACCACAACTGACTCATCTTCATTGTAAGCAAGGGATAATAATGAGATAGGCAAACAGTCAGTAAAACCATGCAAACCTTGGGAATTTTTGGTATTTTAAGCTAACCTGGAAACATTTTTCACAATAACTGAATCTAGGGTTGTCGTTTTGAGACTTGCACTGAATGCAAGTTAAAAAATCAGTCTGGCCAAGTCCTATCTCCTCCAATGAGGTATCTGAATCTTCTCCGTCTGTTATCCAAGCCTCCATTGAGGCATCACAAATTGCAGCTGCTATTGCTGCTCCCACCAACATATCCTACCATCAAAAAATATTAAAATATCTGTACAATAATTAGATGAAAGATAATGACAGTAATAATTTTCCAATTATAAAAATAAATTCTGGAAATAGTACCTCTGATCCACTTGAGGTGTCTTCTGCAAGAGGATTATCATCTCCAGAGAGACTTGCAACTTCATATTCAACTTCATAAAGGTCTTCATCTGAACTGTATTCAGATTTTGTGTCAGTATCAGGCGTATCTTGTGCCAAGTCTGCAAAAGATGGATTAGCACAGGTGCATGTAAGGATTGATCCTTGATCCTACCAGTTTCTTTGCCTTGTACGCTAAGAACACTCTCAGAATCTCCCTCAGAGGTTCTTGAGCTTTCACTTTCAAGCCTGAGGTTATACCAAGAATTGTCCAAAAAACTTTTGTTAAGTACTGAAAACAGAAGTTGAATATAAAACGTCAGTATAATCCACAACAATATTTTCTGTAATTCTACCTTGTTAAAATGAGGTTAATATTACATGTAAAAGGACCATATAAATATTCATTAATTTTAAAATAAATCCAATTATAAAAAACACAGAAGCAACAGATCAAGAAGAATAAATATTAAAATTAAAAGGAAAGGCAATTTTAATGAAAGGTATATAATTAACTTTTTAAAAAGGCGTGTTGCCTGATTACCTTGCTCCATGTTTTCTATGCACTCACTGGCGTTGCACTGTGTAAACTTCGTGGTAGTGGCACTAAAAATATGATTACATAATTACTCTAGTACACTGATAAGACAACATAACACTAATGAGCACTTTGTAGCATGTGGGGGTTAATTTATTAATTTCTTACCCTTAATAATATTTAACGATTATTCAGACTAGAACGTGTTTAAGCTTGCGCGGAATTCCACGAAGGAATAATAATAATTCTGGCTTGTTCCGGAAATAACCTTCGTTGATGACCGTTACACCTCAAACATGCATGCGCAGAAACACAAAATACATTTTTTTTTCAATTTAAAACGTCCTTTTACCCCATTTTCTCGCTTTTAATAAAGTGGTTTTATTCGTATACTCAAATGTATTTTAAATAATTGCATTTAAGCTGTTTAACATTTGAGGTTATGATAAACAACTACTTGTTTAAAAAAAGTTTTTTTATTTATTTATATACGTAGAAGGTGGTTAATATTATAAAATTAACCAGGCTGTTTTAATTACATATTATCAATGAATTAATTACTTATTAAGAGGTTTAACAGCGTTTCAGAATTTATACTAAATCTTTCATCTTTGTTTGGTAATGTGTTGTCTTCGTCTTATATGTGTTGATGGTTGCGTGTGTGACGTTAATTGTGAATTGAATCTACAGTCAATTAAATTTGTTTACAATTAATAGTAACAATAATAGTATTAATCAAGTTTAACAGATGTGGTACAAAAAAAGGCAGATTTAATATGCCACTCGCAAATAGCACAGAGCCATGGCAAATGCATCATGCAGACACAGAAGTAAGTCATACATGTTTTTATTAATTTTGCTTAATTAGTTATGTCAGTGGTTTAATATTTTTACAAATTTTCGAGCTATTTTTGTAATTCTGTTTAGCATGTGTGTTTGTTTTTGGATTTTAACGTTTTTTTATTCAAATTTGCAGCGTTTGGAGTTTCGAGATCCATAAGAATCGTTTCTGTACGTAAAAATATAGCAATCACTTTTGCATGAAGAGGCTATCTCTGCACTCAAGTTTCCACTGCTTTTTCGTAGTTTTTGAATTTCTGAAATCAAACAAACAGCTTCATTATTCCACGTATTGACCCTTTTACTTGTTGTGATATTTTACAGTGCACTCAAATTAAGTGACTTTGTGGGGGTGCTTACAGCTGTAAGAATGCTTACAAATTCTTCAAAAGGAGTGATCAATGTTTATTACATTTATTATCATTTTATTACCTCCTCATATATGTATCACCTAAACGAAATTTCAAGTTTGTTCAGTGATATAACCAAATTCCTATAGTAAGCATAGCGATAACAATTTTTGTTTGAGTCAGATAGTAGGTACCTAATCACAACTGTTTCAGCACAGAATCTCTTCTATTCCACAGTTTATTTATCAGACAAACTTGTCATAGATTTGGCAAAACATTTTACACATTTATAAACAGTTTGGAACATTTTTAAAAAAAAATGTGCACCTGTTTATTGTATATTAAGATAGTTTTATTATCCTGATGTCTCACATCTATTTTAAGATTTAATGTTGTGTTGTAGTAACAGATGTTCTTTATTTCCCCTATCACTGCTACTGAAACTTTGTAATACTGCCTTTTTAAGTCTTTATTAAAATTGTAACACTTTTATAAGTGTATATGTTGTGTGAGTTGTCTTTTAAGAAGTGAACTATTGTGTTTTTTTCGTTTTATCATATTTTGAAATGGAATTCTTAGATTAAAACTAATTTAATTCTAGTTCGTCTTTTACTTCTTGTGTAATTAAAAGTCAAATAAATTTTCCACAAAGTGCTTTTCTAGAAATGGCATGCAACGTATTGATTATTTTAGTTTGCTTTCTGTACTTGTGGGATTAATTAAAGTACTTCTTTTTAGTCTGCTGATGGTGATGAAGGCGCCTGTGGAGGGGCTGAAGACAACCAAGGGAATGGGGAAAAGGAACATGAAATTGAGTTGGGAGAGGTAAATAACACAATTATTGTTGTGCTTTTTAAAATATAAGACAAATATTGATTGTGATGATTTGTAGATTGTTCGGGAGGGTCACGATAAAGCCGATCCTTCTCAGTTTGAACTCCTCAAAGTTTTGGGAGAGGGTTCTTTCGGAAAGGTATTTCTGGTGCGTAAGGTTTATGGAAGAGACGCCGGGACTTTGTATGCTATGAAGGTCCTGAAAAAGGCAACCCTTAAGGTTCGTGATAGATACAGAACTAAAATGGAAAGAAACATATTGGCAGATGTGGGGCACCCCTTCATAGTTAAATTGCACTATGCTTTTCAAACTGCTGGCAAACTGTACCTGATACTCGATTTCCTTAGAGGAGGAGATTTATTTTCCAGGCTTAGCAAAGAGGTAAAAAACACAAAAATAAAAAGAGAAAAACGTTTTATATCTTTTCTTTTGTATAATAGGTAATGTTTACTGAAGAGGATGTAAAGTTTTATTTGGCAGAATTGGCTTTGGCTCTGCACCATTTGCACTCTCTGGGGATAATTTATCGCGATCTGAAGCCAGAAAATGTTCTCTTGGATTCAGAAGGTCACATAGCACTCACAGATTTTGGCCTGTCCAAGTTACCAGTTGAAGAGGGACAAACTTACAGTTTCTGTGGAACAGTAAGCATCAAAACACACTTTTTATCATTCTTAGACACTCATCTATGTATTTAAATCAAAATAAATAAATTAATTTCCTTTGAGTGCCTGTTGAATGTATTTCATTTTATTTTCAGGTCGAATATATGGCCCCTGAGGTGGTGAATCGCAAAGGCCATTCGTTTTCGGCAGACTGGTGGTCATTCGGGGTTCTAATGTATGAGATGTTGACGGGAGGGCTACCATTCCAAGGAGCAAACAGGAAAGACACGATGACATTGATTTTAAAGGCCAAACTAGGAATGCCAGCTAATTTAAGTCCTGAAGCACAAAGCCTTTTAAGGGCCCTGTTCAAAAGAAACCCTGCAAACAGGTTGGGAGCAGGTGCAGGAGGGATCGATGTAATTTTACCCTTATTGTATTTTATATTTCTATTTGGCAGTTGTTCTGACAAAGTTATTTGTATTTACAGGATTTAAAGAGACATGAATTCTTTGCTACAATAGACTGGGATGCGTTGTTGGGGAAAAAGATAAGGCCCCCATTTAAACCGGCTGTTTTAGGACCAGACGAAGCCTATTACTTCGACTCCGAGTTTACCAGTAAGACTCCAAGGGACTCCCCGGGGGTCCCTGCAAGTGCCAATGCTCATGAGCTATTTAGAGGGTACTCGATATGGCAATTATAAAAACAATAATTATTTAATTCTTGTTTTTATAATTTTAGATTTAGTTTTGTTGCTCCTTGTCTTCTTGAAGAGGGAACTGCTACACGTGAGACTCCATACAAGTCTGTTCGAACAAGTGCCAATAGTTTTAATGAAGAATACGAACTGCTCGGTGTTCTGGGTACTGGTAGTTACAGCGTCTGCAGACACGCCAGGCACAGGGCTACAGGTCAACAGTACGCTGTTAAGGTGACCTTATTTCTTGAATATAATAGCAGGTCGTTCGAGAAGTTTTAAAGCCTTTTTGTTTTGCAGATAATAGATAGAAGTAGTTGCGATTGTAGGGAAGAAGTCGAGATTTTACTAAGATATGGCCAGCATCCTGGTATAGTCTCTTTGAAAGGTGTCTATGAAGAATCAGGGAAAGTTTATTTAGTCCTGCAGCTCTTAAAGGGAGGAGATTTGCTCGAATACATCATGAAGAGGGTAAATTTATTGAAGCATTGTCCTTTTTGTCTGTGAGATTATTAATACTGTTTTATTATTTCAGGAATTTTTGACGGAACCTGAGGCTGCTGCGATTTTGAAAACGTTGGCTACAACTGTGGCTTATCTTCACGAAAGTGGGGTAGTACATCGTGACCTGAAACCTTCCAACATCCTTTTTGCCTCTGAAAATCGTGTTCCAGAAAGCGTTACAATCTGTGATATGGGATTCGCAAAACAGGTACAGTTTTCGTTCTCAATTTAATTAATGTAAACAATAACTGATATTAATTCTGTATATTGCAGCTAAGGGCAGATAATGGTCTTTTAATGACTCCCTGTTATACGGCCAATTATGTTGCCCCTGAAGTACTGAAGCGACAGGGCTACGACGCGGCCTGTGACATCTGGTCATTGGGGGTCATACTCTATATAATGCTGTCGGGACGTTGCCCCTTTTCTACGGCTCCTAAAGACAGCCCCCAACAAATCTTGCAGAGGATAAGCTCTGGAAGACTCGACTTTACAGTAAGGGTTTCCTTATCCTCGAATTAACACGATTTTAATCGTTTTTCTTGCATAAGGGGGGTCGTTGGAATTTGGTTTCTCAGCAGGCCAAAGCGCTGGTTTCAGACATGTTACACGTGGCACCTCAGAGACGTCCCACAGCCACACAACTGGTCAATCATCCTTGGCTTAATGCCAAGTCTTTCGTGGTTAATCAGCACGTCCCGACGTCTTACCATCATCACCATCACAATCATCAGGTGCCGGGGGCGGTCGTCGGGACGTCACAGGTCACCAAAATGGCCCTGCATAACAACAATCAGACGGAAAAGGTGCATCTGAAGGAAACCGTGGCTGCCACGTTCAGGGCCATCGCTGTGTCTCCACAGGCAGCACATTTGGGGCCCGTGGCCATGTCTGAACTGGCCAGGAGGCGATTGGAAAAAGCCATGGCCCAAAGACAGTGCTCCAAAGCCACATAATCATAGGCCAGTATTCATTGTAATTATTTGGTTGGTGTTGAAGGTATTTTTTAGTATAAGATCTAAATATAATGATTTTGAAGTTGTAATTTTATTTTAAGTAATTGTTATTTTTACAGGTTCAAGAAGCCGTTCATGTGGTTGTGGTCAATTTGGAGTTGAACAGTACAATAGAAATACTGTCTCAATTTTATTTCGTTTCTGTCTTTCCCTCTCTGTAATCCAAAGGTTTCAGCATGTAAAAAAGCAGTTTTGATATACATTCTTCATGGTAAAATATACAGCCAGCTGGTTGATTGTGGAATACCAGAGTCTGTCTTATGGAGTACGTGTGGTCCATTCCAGTACGGTGGACTGGGAAGACCGCAGTTGCCATGTTTTTGTTCCTTATTGTAGTTTAAATAGCGCATATCAACATGAGCTGATCTATTTTCGTACCGCTACAAACTAAACAAATGTGTACAAAAATTGAAGAAAAACGCAAAAAAAAAAGTTGTTGAAAACATAAGTAGTCGCATAATAGGTTTGTTGATGTGTTACATTCTATTCTTTGGCTAATTGTAAGGTTCCAACGTCGCGTGATAAGAAAACTGTTAACAATATTAATCAACAAAGTAATTAATGGCAGAAATGAAAAATCGGGGAATTTTATGTATAATAGATTACGGTGTGCTGAAGAGAAGTAACTTTTTTTTTGTTTTTCCAACTCTCGTCTCGTGTTGGTCAAATACTATTTTGCTATAAAATAAAGTATGGTACATAGAATTTTGTAACACTAAACTCAACAAAAGTAGAGCTAATTTAATGAAACAACAATTTTTACTCATTTCGTTATTGTGGTATATCTTATGTATCAACTGTGCACGTCTTAATCTTTGAATTAGGAGCTGATAAGTATTTATTCGGAATAATAAATAATAAAATCTCTTTTGTTCAGCACACCCTATTATAGATATTGTGTATTGTTTTCTTTTTTAAGTGTACATGTTACGATTATGTTTTATATATTTGCTGTAAGTGTATCGTGGGTGTTTGAAAAGTTATTTATTATTTCATTCTGTTGTGTATAGTTTTAAAAAAATTTTTCTTTTAGAAAATTGGGGGCTCAATTTTTCGTCTGTTTGATTTTTGTGTTGTGTACAAGTGAAAGGGAAATGAAAATATTTTATAATTATTTTAATTAATGTTAATTACGTAATCACGTAAGAGTTACCAAGAAGATGAAAACACTTTATTTCTAATATGTAGATAGGTATTATCATTCCAAAATTAAAAAACGAGAAACAATTAAAGAAAGGCTCTTTTAATTAGTTGTGTATTAGATAGATTTAATTTTTTAAACGATTATTAATTAAGACTATTAATTGTTTGATACCACATCACGAAATTGTT